GAATACAACTTACACCTTTTTGGAAACTCAGCTTTTGCTCAAACACCTTTTCTTTTTTTCTTTTCCTCCCTGCACGGTGCGCTGCCCCCCCCCCAATTAGTTTTTTCTTTTGTGGTAGATTGCATGCTCTGTGTTTGGTGGAGGTAGAGACATTGAATTGCTAAGTTAGTTTTTAAGATCATGTGGTAGAAATGTTTTCATTTAACCTGGCTGTGGCAAAAGTTTTATGTAGGTTTTTCTTAAACTGTTGTCAAAATAATTTAATACCTGAGTGTGTCATCTGTAAGTTTGTTTGTAAAAAAAGTTAAGAAAAAAACCTTTTCTAATACATTCAACTCAGTATTCCTGCTTCTGCAGTTACCTGTGGGTTTCATGCAGCCACTGAGAAAGGATGCTGCAGCTGAAGTGGTGTGGAATAAATTCACCAAAACCACATGGTTATTTTTGTTGATAACTCACGTGATCGCTAGTGTCACCAAATGTTGTGCATTTTCCTGTGTAGACTTGTAATTTCATGTATCTGCATACTGCTGCTTTCTGAAATAAGGGGGGGTTTTATTGTTATTTCAAAAGGGATTATCTTTTGAGAATAATTGCTGTCACTAACCCCATTAGCAAAACTATGCTTCTTCTGGCATGCAAGCGGAACAACAGTAGTGTGTTGGTCTGGCTGGGGCGAGTGTTTGTAACAGATACATTGTGGTAATGTGTGCTGTGGTCTGCACCTGAAACTTGAGAGTTGAGAGAGAGTTTGGTTTTAGTTTTAGGTGTGAAGAAGTAGGGCAGTTCTCCCTTGAAATACATATTCAAAAAGATGCTCTTAAATGATGTTGTAATTCCTATTGTATAAACATAGAATGAAACCCCAAAATTGTTCTAGAAATCTTCATTGCCATGCTACACTGTTTGTTTCCAAGGGTTATGCTGAACTCTATTTAAATACTTCAGTGAACACTTCCTCAGCTTGCGCTGACTTCTGATACTGTCTGATGGAGCTTCAGAGAAACATCAACACCAGATGAGGAACTGGGAGGGCTGGGGCTAGGGGACAAAAAATTGTCTAAGTTGTTGCCAACCTGTGCTTAATCTAAAAAGGATCTCAAGCTGGCTATGCTGTAGTGCATCTGAATTATTTCCTCATTGTCTCACAACGTTGCATTATATAGTGACCTATGTTCTTGCTTCCAGAACCTTCATTCAAATAAATCACAAGGTTTCTGTGTGGTAATATTTGTTCAGACTGGTTTGTCTGCTGTCTTTCCTATCCCAGCACAAAGCCTAGGTTTAGAGACAAACAACCTCTTCCAGAAGAGCAAGATAGGCACCTGGTTGGTTTTTCTGTATTTTGTATTCATGTGTGGTCCTCTCATTTCCCCGCTTCCCCACCTTTAATAGCTGTACAGTTGCATTTCACAGAGAAGTGGAATTGCCTTATCTTGTTTTGGTTTTTTCATCTTGCCTGCGTGGGTGGACTTGCAGAACCAGTGTTCTAGATCTCCCTGCATCACAACAAGCGTTGTTGCCCAGTATTGCAGATCTATTACTTTGACTATTTGAAAAACCAAAACCCGTTACTGGAAGAAGATTGAAGAACTGAAGCTGACAAAGGTAAGCCAGCTGCTTAGAACCTAGTTTTGAGACCAAATGTAAAAAGAATTTCCCAGATGGGTTTACCTGTGCTCAAGGCATTGCAGAAGTAGATTTCTTGCTGCTTTGCTTACACCCTGCCAGTCCAGCATGCGACAGAATGAGAATGGTGGTCGTATACCATGCATGATGATTAAAGGGTATTTTCTTTTTTATGATTATACTGTACCTGACAATTTTGTCTTGACAACAACATTAATTTATTCCAATATTTACATTTACATCAGCAAGGTTCAGAAGTAAACAAGTATTTTTCTCCTAACTACACTTAACACAAGAGCACACATCTGTGTATAGAATATATTAAGAATCTTGGTGGTTGCTCTTACTCATTTCAGAAACCATTCATAAGAAACAGAAATAAAGATAACACTATGAAGCACAGCAGAAGTCTGCAAAGTACCACAGCTTTATTACTAGAGGTTGGATCCTGTTGGCAATCCTTAGACAGTTAGCCCACTCCTCTGTACAAATACTGTGCACTGAATAGATGCTAGCAGAGACAACTGTTGATGCTAGCAAAAGTGGACTGCTGTATTTGAGGTTTTGGCACATTATTGTTCTGTTAATTTATGACCCACATGTTGCAATGCTGACTATTCCAGTTAAACATTGCCAGGCATTGTTAATGGGGAGGGAATAGGTGTGGCAGACACAAGCCTTTTACATTCTTAATATTTTATTGACCAGAATGCTGTATAGGCTTTAATTTTTAGCTGTTTTTCTTTCCAACAAAACTATTCCCCACCCCCCTAAAAGTTAAGCACAAGAGGATGTGTTGTTCTGAGTTCTGTCAGCTCTTTAGTTTATGTACACCAAATTTTGATGTTTTCCAAGATGCTGCAGTTAGTTACACAGTACCTTAGCTGGAGTTCAGTGCATCATACCCATTTCATTTCAAATGTCAGTTTAAGAGACAGTATAGCAGCTGCAGTCATTGCTCCCTGAAGAATAAGAATGATGTATGCTCCTTTATGTTTTTCCCTTTTCAGCCAAGTAAGTTCTCATGTTTTGCTACATTCACCATTTTCTGATTTTTATTAGGGTTTGGAGTATTCACGTTTCAGCTTTGTCTGTTTTGCAGGTTACTTTGTCTTGGGTCATTCAAGTGAAGTCATAGTGTATGAAGCACTCCATTTAGACCCATGAAAAACTGACACCAAAGGACCAAGCAAGTAGAGTAAACCAAGAGAGCCTTCCAAGTTTGATGCCTGTAACTAGTCTTCTGGTGGCAACTTTGAGGAAGATTTGATTCTTGTGGTCACAGGGAAAGAAGGTCCAGCCACAGGCATGTAATAAGTGATGCTTAATAAATGATTCCAAAAAGCTGCCTTTATGTGTTTGCTTTTACTTGTGATTGCTCAATTAGATATCGAAAAGAAAAGTGATAGGATGAGTCTCTAGATGTACTACCGGTTTTCCGCTAGTCTTCTGCACTGTGCAGGCTGACTGAATTCTGGCGCTAACCAGAGGGACTGAGTTTTCTGGGGAGAAATAGGGAGAGACTCTTCTGCTTCTCAAAATACCCTGGTGCATCTCAGGCATGTCCAGAGAGCCTTACAGGCTTCTGTTTGCACAGTCTGTGATTTAAATAAAACCAGTAAGTTTAAAATGGAAAACACAGGGGAGAGGTAGGCAGGAGGTACCGACCAAACATTTCTCGACTTGCACAGCATGAACACCTTTTTGTTGTGACATTGTTTGCAGAGACATGTAGTCTGGGGATTGAAATAGGATTGTGTACAACGTTGAAGCATCACACCGTATTTCAAGCTGCTACAACAAATTAACTATTTAACACTTTGCTAATGTTGTGCGTACACTTGTTGCCTCCCAGCATGAAAATAAAGCAAATAATTGCAGCAAGCTTTCTGCCCAGTAGAAGTTACTGTAATACAGTGAGAAACTTTGTCCCACACTTGAGTAAACAGAAGCAACAGGAAGCTGTTGGAAGGAGGGCAGTGTTGAATTAGATACAGGAAAAAAAATTTGAGGGCTCTGTGTCCATCGCCGACAGCTCACTATGCAGTTCAAGCTGATGTAGTGCCGTTTCTCTCTGGTAACGTAGCAACTGGACCACACCTCCTCCTGCTGAAAGATGCTAAAGAGCCCTTTGAGCACTATCTGGTGTACTGCAAGGGAACTGCACCATTTTTAATTACCATGGCATTGCCAGCTGATACTTTTTTTTTTCTCCCATGGAATGGCAAGGAAATTCTTCGTTCTGTCAAGTAATCCTGTTTTTTCCATTCATCGTTTGTGTAGTAATCCCATTATATTGCAGAAGAGGACTATGTTAATTTTAAATTAATACCAGAATTGTATCCATCAGTGCATTTTATCTTGTTTTAAAGTAAGTTTTTGATTAAAAATAAGCATTCTTGTCCACCTGATGCTCTTCTCATTTAGCACTCCTGTATGGTGGTATTATGTTAACATTTTGGAAGAATACTCAAGGATTTGAGCATGTTTTTCTTCTCACTTAGACTTTGCAAATGACTGAAAAGCTTTCCCCACTCCTAACCTCTCTTCTGTTGTGCAACAAAAGAGCTTTCCTTTAAGCATCTTGGTTTCCAAGCACAAGAAATCGTCTCTGGGCATTACTGAACGTTTGACTTAAGGTGTGATGAATCCTCTTATGCCAAGTTCAATTTTTTTTTTTTATGTATACTGTAGATTAATGTTTAACTTAGCTAAAACAACTGTGCAACTAGTATTGTTCAGAGTTTCTCTTTTAAGGTGGTTTTGTTCGGATCTTGGGTTTTATGCAAAAAAAGGATATGCTAAGTCTGCATTGGATGTTACAGCCTGACTTTGTTTTGTCAAGGCTGTTTCCTTTGCTGCCTGTCTTAGAAAGATGATTGTTGCATTATAACAGTACAAAATCCTTATTCTGGCTTCGTGACCTGCATGAGGGAAAGCCTTTTAAACTATCTGAAAACTTACTTATTGATTTATTCAAATGTGTTGGTTTCTTACTGTAGTGACATACCAGTTGTTGTCATTGCACTTTGGTATCAGCTTGGGGAGGGGGCATGTTTTGGTGACATATGGCAAAGCAGCCATTGCAAAATAATGCTATTGGTATTGCTGTACTTTGAGGTTTCCTTTTTTTTTTTTTCCCTGAGAATTTAAAATACAAATCCTAGCATAGTTCAGCAAGCTTGTGGCAGCTTGTGACTTAAGTACATCAAAACCAATAGCCTACCTAAAACAATGTAAAACTGTGTACTTGGAGCGGTGCATATACAGTAAATCTGTGGCGATATTGTGAAAACTATATAAAAATGCAAATATACCATTTTGTTAACTTGATAATGCTTATGCATCCCTTCCCCCTTCTGTCTTTATAGGTCTACGAGGGCTAATCAATCTTGGGAACACATGTTTTATGAACTGTATTGTCCAGGCACTTACCCACACTCCACTGCTGCGAGATTTCTTCCTCTCCGACAGGCACAAATGTGAAATGCAAAGCCCCAGCTCATGTCTGGTCTGTGAAATGTCTACGCTTTTTCAGGAGGTGAGTGCTGTTTGCCACAATAGCATTGCCTTTCCACAGATGCTGGCTGTTCCTTACCCCAAAAGGGATTGTGTTCCATTTGCAAATATAAAGGGAATGTAAATTATGTTTCCCCTCAAGGTGTGGCAAAACAGAGCAGTAAAGATTGGGTGAGACCCTACTGTCAAAAATACCCAACTGCTAAAAAAGGAACTATTGGCCTTTTAAGTCCTATTCATAAGTCACCCTTGTTTAGGCAAATCTGGTATTGGAAATAATTACAGTGCTGCCTGCTCTTCTGAGACTGATCTGCAAATCTTTAGTCTTAAAGCTGAATGTGTACTTTAATTAAAGGTGCAAGTTGTAACTGGAAAATATGTCACAGGCTCTTTGGGTGATAATGGGAGTGAGAGTAAAGTAATAGTATATAGCCTGTGGTTTAAGGCACTGGATTATGTAGGTCTGTATAAATATTTTAAAGATCTTGGTTCAACGCTTTCTAACAGGTAGAAACATCTTCACTATCATCTCTTATGTGGAAACCCATTAATGGCCCAGAGGATGTAGAAAAGTGAATGTGTTGGTACAGTTTGTACCTTCCATGTATGAGCTACTGTTATTTCCCTTTCTCACTCAGGTGACTGGCTTTGTAATGTGTCTTTCTCTGTAGGTCTAGTCTGTGCTGTATGAGACAGGCACAGTCTTTTCCTTAATAAATAGTCAAAGAGCGTTATTAACTACTTTAGTTGCGCATCACCAATGTAAGGACTATGGCTAGACATGGGCTTCTAGTTTTAAGATGAGTCTTTAAAAACAAACAAATCCAGCTCTGTGCCTTTCCCTGTGATAGATCTGCTTTCTTGATAAGTAAAAAAAAAAAAAAACCACACAACAAAAAACCCCCCAAAAACCCAAACGAAACCCCCCAATAAAGCTGTAGTACATGCTGTCACAGAGCATTTAAGATAGCTGGAGATGTTTGTACACAGAGCATGTCTTTTGTGTAGATGCTGTTATGGAAGTTCATTCAAACTGAGACCAACCTAAAATAGCTTTACCTTTATCTCGTGATTTTCAATTTGATTTTACTTCTGTGCCTTTTTCACCAGACATGAGTCTTTTTGGTCATTGCAGGTAAATGAAACATATATGGAAGGTAAAGTCCCCCATTCCAGTACAAAGTTGTTTTCTGCTCATACTTGACACTCATGTGAATTTGCAACCTTTCATGCTGCTGATCAGTCCTTAGTTGTATGTTATACTTCTTATTTTTTTATTTATTTTTCGGTTATTTCTATGTCTGTCAGGAAAGGAGGTAAAAACAAAAGGCAGGCATACCAATAGGTAGCAGCTGCAGGATTATTGAAACCAGATGTGCAGTTAAATGGGGAAATACCACTCTGCCTAGATAAAAAAAAAATCAGCCATGGTATAGAAATGCCAGCTTCTGTACACTGTTAATATAGAAACCTATTTGCTTATTTTAAAAAAAGGTACTGTTATAATCTTGATATCCTTTCATCAATTTGTGGTATAAAGTCTCATTCTGATGAGTATCATCACATTCTGTTTGCACACATGCATTTTTAAAAAAAATCCCTTGGGAAAGGGGAAATGAGTATTACATTACAGATTGAGGGGCTGGAGGAAAGATCAAGACTGTCTAGGTAATGCTTTTTATTTCCATTTTTGTATGTGGAGCCCTGTTGATAGCCTAGGATGCCTTTTGCTAGACTATATACAAGCATGTAACAAAGAACAGGCTGTTATCCAAAATGGGGCTTGAATGCAGCATTCACATTAGTTTCAATTGTAATCAAGTTTAACTTCACACATAACTTTGGGAATCTCAGCCTTCATTTTCCCCAATCAAAACTCAAAAATGAGGGTATGTGAATGAGGGAAGAGCCATATCTGTGATATCAGACTGCAAAGGTAGCAGTACAGTAGTCTCTGTCCTTATTTCACATTGAAATACTGCAGCTATGTGCTGTGGGAGGACAACAAAAAGTGACTCAACCACCTTGGAAGTAAAACTAGCACTTAGTCCTCCACAAGCAAAACTGTAGTGTCTGTAACCAACTCAATATATTTTAGCTTGCAAGCAGTAAATCCCATGTTGTGTTTATAGCTTTGTCAGCACTCATTGTAAAATTCTGTTTCCCAGTGAGTTTTAATTTCTGTACATTCAGAATTTAAACAAAAATCTTGCATATTTGGAGCAGACTGGTTATCTTTCATGTCCCAACTATATGCAGTGGTTATGATGAAGATTCCTACACTGTCTTTGCAGAGATGAGGTCTGGATGAAGGAAAGCTAACCAGTGGAGACTTCAGTGCTATGGTTAAGAATTCCTTTGTAATTGAATTACTGGGGAAACTGGTTCAGGTTCTGTCTTGTTTTTATGTAGCTTTCTCACCGGGATTAACTGAGGTAGTTATCCCAAGGCATTTTACCCAGTGACAAAAGATCAGGGCAAGGGTTAACTTCATCTCACCGCCACCCTTCTTTTCTGAAGGTGTGATCTTAGGCAAATGGAATGCCAGGGGATCTGGTGAATGCATGCCAGTAAGAACTCTCCAGGAGAAAAAGAGACTGTTTTGAACATTAAATGAAACTTACTATACATAAATAAGCAAGTTTTGCTATTTTGCTGCTTAAACAGAAAACACTTGTCCCTTGTTTTGTTTAAGACCATTTAGTTATATAGGTTGTATGGTTTCTCTGTGATAAATAGGAAGTTACAAAGTTCTTCCACCTTGAAGTAGGTTGGTGGTGAGTAATGAGTATCAGATTGTTCTCAGAATTGAGATTTTTTTTTTTCCTGGTAGCTTTTCTTGCAAATATGCCAAGCATTGATCTCTGTTTGTTTTAAGAATATCTGACTGCATCCATTAACATTCTCATTTGTGCTACTTGAAACCTATTTCTCAATAGAATGATGACATGAATTACACTGCATAAGAAAAGGAATGAAAAGGATATGGGAATAACAGATAGTTGTGAAACTGGATGGAGGGAAGATAGAACACACAGAATCCGTTCATTGAGCCTTTTGGCTGAAAGGGTTTGTGCGCTACTTTTTACCTACTGGTATTTGTGTTTTAGTTTTGCTTCACCAGTGAAAATTAATTTCAGGATGGTCTGCACCCTAAGGTTTATCTAAATCCTTTACAGAATGACCATTCAGGATGGTAGGATTAACGGATCTGTATCTCGGTGTACTCTGTGACTGGAATAGCAAGAATACCTGGGAATATAGCAGAATGCAGTGCATCCACTCAGAGATGTAAAGAACAAAGCCTTCTTTATTCCCATCATTACTCATCCTCATGAGCCTATCAAAGTGCACAGCACAACTACGTGGAGAGTTGAAAAGTGAGGACAAAAAGGAAAAACAACAAGATGATTTATGGCTTTGATATCTTAAGATGGTACACTGTTGAAATGGCTTATGTATAAAATAAGTTACAACAAAGGTACAAGGGAGAAAAAGTAGTTAAGGCTCTTTACATAGACAGAGGCCTTGCATTTTGTCATGGAAAATACAGAGTTTGTGCTGAGTTTACTAAATCTTTTCTCTGAAATAAGTATAGAACATACAGAGTGCGTGCAAGCAAAATGGTTTTTCTGACTCCTTGAACCATTGCTCGTTGTTGGGAAACCTCCAGTACGTGTTCTTTTATTCTGAAAGGAGCATGTATTACCAACTCCCTTTATCCATGTAAATTTTCAGAATGTTTAAAGTCTTAATTGAGAACCAATTTCTAAGAGGAGGTTTTAGCTTCTCAAATTGGACTGGAGCCTGGTACAGGATTTATGCCTATAAATTCTTGATTACAAAGCTCGGAGACTGGTTTGTTGATACGTATGCAGGACAGATCAAATGCATCTCTTTGTTCACATAATTGGGAAACTTCCATGCATGTGTTTTTGGCAGGAGGAGAAGGAAGTACAGATTTGTGTGGTGGTGTTTTGGGGTTGTGTGTGTCTTGGTGTGTTGTTGGGGTTTGGTTTTTTTGTTTGTTTGTTTTTTAAACTGACTGGTATCTGTATATTTTCGGTAACAATAATGCAAAATACAGAGACTAGAATCCTCTAAATCCCCTATAGATTTCTTCCTTTTAGAATCCAAGAGCAAGTGTGTTAAATGCGGGGAAAAAAAAAAAAAAAAAAAGAAAGAAAGTTACTGTTACTTGGGTTGAGTGCAAGAATGGCAGCTTTGAATCCTGGTTGGGGGAGGGGTCTTCCTCACCCCACCCCCAACAGCAATTAAACAGTGTATTACCAGGCATTTTCAAATTACTTGAACTAGTTCTCTCCAATATAAACAACTGATACTGCTGAATTGAAAACAAAGTTAAACAAAAAATGTTTTAAATTATGTTTGGAAGAATTGTGCCATTGAAGTGCTTTAGAGGTGACTTGCAAATACATCATTATTTATATTTGCTCATGTTAATGAAAATATTTGTATAATAGTGATTAAATAAGACTTTACATGGACTTTCTTCCTTTTTGTGGATTGGAACAGCTCTGATAGGCTGCTCTTCACAGCAACAAGGAAATGACAGAGATGAGATGGATGTTTTGTACATTCCAGTTAAAATACGCTATTGAATGTGCTCGGATTCTCTTGTTTCATTTTGGATTTACTAGAATAGTGAAGCTTTCACCCACTTCCATGTATACTCAACAGCATTCTTACTAGGTGTGTTTCTAGTTTCTGTGTGGTAATAGCTAATAATTTGATAAAGCTTCTTGTTAGATTCTTCTAATGAAGCACTAGAGAACGCAAAATCTGCTGGCAGGTCTAGTGTCTGCAGTGGAGTAATTATGGAGAGTGCTGTTGGTTAAAATGACCGGAGAGCTCTGGGACTAATTGTAAGGAGTGACAGAACAGAGAAGTTTTATTGCTACAGTTCCCTGAATTATGTCGAGCAGCAGCTGCGTCAGCAGCTTTCAATTACCATACTACTGCTCCAGTCCCTTGGTGTCATTCTTGTTGGCATCAGAGTTAACTATTGATCTTTTTATTTATAGAAGCATTTTGTGTTGTTTGGCTGCAGAGATATATCTTCTTGTTTCGAAAAAGCAGAGCTTGCCATAAAGAAATTTCTTTGCAAGGAAATACACTAAAACCATTTAGAAAACATACAAAAATGAGGACTAGATGAGAAGATTGTACTACCTTTTGCCTACCTGTCCCTTAAAAATACAGTATGTTTCATCTAGGCAGGTTTGTAGCACAATGCCCTCATATAAAATGCTCAGGGACTGGGGAGGGAGAAACTTAGGTCTGGGGAAGGAAGCCTGCTTTTCCAGTGAGACTGAGAAATTATATACTGCTGGGGTTTTAAATCTTATTTTTGTTCTGTGTATTTGCTGCTTACTGTCTTCTGTTTGGGAAGAGTAACTGAAAATAAACCGCCATTGATTTGATAGGATCTTGGCAAAACATAATTGTGGTGTTGCAGGCACCCTTCACTGGCAAATACCTTTTCTAAAGGTTAGGGAAGGCAGAATGACTTACGAATTTTCACTTATTAAAATAAAATGTTACTCTTAAATACAACCTGAAGGCCAACTGAATAAATTTTTTTGGGCCTCTTCTGGCTCCCTGCAGGGATACCACAAGCACCTCTGCTTTGCTTTTGGAACTGGTATAATGGTGCAGGGGTTCTTGAGCAGATACAGAAGTCGGCTTGCTCAAGAAGGGACTGTTCGCTTTAGTCTCAGACTCTCGATGCCAGAATTGGCAGCAGCAGAAGTGAGGACCCAGGAAGAGGAAAGTAGAAGCGTTGCAGCAGTAACACTTGGATGGAAATGGAGGGGGTAGAGGAAGGAGCTGAACCCTGACCCAGGGAAACAGAGACCCTTAGTATGGGGGTTTTGGGCATGTTTTGTTTTTCAGTGGGACCTTATTTATTTAAAAAAAAAAAACAAACAAAAAAGCATGAATTTCTGTAGCCAGTTATCTGTCCTCCTTTTCTGTGCTGATGTACCTTCTCAGCTGTGTGTCACCCCTCAGCAGTGGTGTTTCACATCACGGTTTTGCTGACTGAATAATTTGTCTGTGCACACTCTAATATGCTTCTGGCAAAATCACCTGGGGCAATTTCAGTCACTACTGTAGCCAGCTCATCAGATTTTGACTGAAGCAGATGCAGGAGCTGGTCCAGGACGAGGTCTCTGGGCAGTGACACCCTGCAGGAGTGGTAATAGGCAGCTGACTTTGGGGATAGACGAATGAATTGGTACCTTCAGCTCTGCAAACAGCTGTACTTGACAAAGTTGTTTCTAAGGCTTTGTGCTATTATAGCTGTACAGTGAAAGGCCAAGACTGGCATGAGGCTGCTATCCTACTTGTAAAGTTTTCCTTAAGATAGGACTGTGCACAGCCATTGGATGCAGAGAGTTACCATGGCTTGAGTCAGGGGCTGGCTGACAGTTGGCATCTAATATTCTCATCTTCAGTGTTTGTCCTGATTTTGGGGGGCATGTAATTTGGGAATGAAATTGCTGATCTCTTGCAAATGTAGGGTTCTTTCTTTTGTTTTCTTTTTTCTTTTTTTTTCTTTTTTTTTTTCTTTTTTCCCCCAGGCTATTTTACTAAAAGCCAATGGTATCAGTAAGGAATTTTTGAGTGTTGTTTGTGTCCACCTTCCTTCCCGTACCTGGCTTTTTTTTTTTTTTTTTTTTTTCCAATCCATCAGAAAATGATGGAATTTCAAGGGAGAAAACTGAGGTGCTGAGTTTCGAGATCATTTCTTCAGTAGTCTGATAAAGAGCTCTCTCTGTATTTTATTAAGGCCATCAGAATTAAATGGTTTAAATTTATTTGACTAATTGCACTCATTTAAGTTTTTAATAATTAAATGCACTGAGGCTGTGTAACTTGTTAACAGTTATGTCCTTTTCTTTGCTTTGAGCAGTTTTACTCTGGGCACCGATCTCCTCACATTCCATATAGGTTATTGCACCTGGTATGGACTCATGCACGGCATTTAGCAGGGTACGAGCAACAAGATGCACACGAGTTCCTCATTGCTGCATTAGATGTGCTACACAGACACTGCAAAGGTAAGGTTTGTATTGAGTCTTCAATCAACAAGGAATATTGGATCAAAAGGAGGTAGAACAATCTCTTCTTAAATCAAGTGTACTGTCTTACAGTACAGCAGTCTTAGCAAATTCCTTTAAAAATGTTTGGTAGACTTAAAGGAAAAGATTTATAAATAAATAAACCACTCCCACTGTCAAAAATTACCTAGAGTTAGAAGCAGACAAGGCTGTACATTGGTTTGAATCACATCATGTTCTTCTCTTATTGGTTGTGAGTCACTGTCTTTTCTTTTAAATTGCCATTTTAATTCTATTTATACTTGAGATAGTTAGAACTCTTACTCAGTGTGTCATGGAACTGATGAAAATAACATAGAGGAGGCTGTGGCTGTCTGCTTAAACATTATCCTGCTGTATTTATGATGCCAAATTGCTTACAGAAATATGAATAAGAAAAAAGTGGTTTTGATATCTTGTTTTATTAGTCTGTATATAAAAATACATAATTGTACAATACAGTAAAATATTCAGTGACATGCTTTTTAGGGATGAAGTATCGTAAGTTTTGAATTGATTTGTTAATGTCATGTGAAATTACATATTTCATGTTAGTTAGCTGTACTATATCTGAACTGAAAATTTCCTAATCTGCCAATGTTTGATCTAGCTTGATTCACTTGCTTAAGCACAGAAATTTTTGTTATTCTTGTAAGGGAAAAATAGTAGGGTTGATACTAGCAAAACAAACAAAAAAATCCTTAGTCACTAAAAATAAGCTTTAAAGCACTCAACTTTCCTCTAATGCCCTTAGAAAAAGCGCTTAGAGGTTAGGTGTTTGGCTTCTCAGAGGACTATCAAAGGGAAGGAAGGCTGCTACTGCTTCTATGAAACATTTTGAAGTCTTGCTTTTATCTTTGAGATACTCTTACATGGTAGCAGATGTGCTTGTTCAGATTCATAATAGGTGTCCTCCAAAAAAGTCTTCTCCAAAAAAGAGTACTTGTAAGGACAGGAATACATAGAACAGTTCTTTTGTAATTTATTAATATCTATCATGTGACAATCACTAACTGAAATTCAATAGGCCTAATGGAACTGGTGTTGAAGTACTGTAAGGAACAGAGTCTACCCAAATACTGACCTATCACTTCTTAACACTGAATAAACTCAGGTGCAAACAAATACTTCTTGGTTCCTGTAAAGTTTCTGAACCATTGATCTAACAAATCTCAAAGCTTTTTCATCATCTTTGATATAAAATGATCTTTGTATTTCTTTTATACTTCCTGATTAGTACATGAAGAAATAGTATTTTCTTCTCAGAATTGTAAAGAAAAAACTTGCAACAATAAAGGTCCCTGTGCTCTTTTCAAACTGATAAAGAATCTGAAAAGACTTTTTTTTTTTTTTTTTTTAGCATGGTTTGGCTTTAAATGAAGAATCTCTGAGGTATCTTCTGGAATTACCAACAAAATCAGGCTTTCTCAACAGTTTCTTTACTCTGGGTTCTGTTTGGCCCCTCCATCCCAAACAAAAACAAAAACTGTGATCTGTCCTAAAACTTTGAAAAATTTATATGTTGGACATTCCTTGTTGGAAAGAGTGTGTGCAGGTGTATGAAAACTTGTTGGATATTACAGATGTGTTGAAAACACTGACATCTGAATTGGTATCAAGTTTCATAATGGTTTCATCCAGCTTGAATTGAATTAGGGAGTTTTGCACCTTTAGTACAAAGGTTTTTTGGGTTGTGGGAAAGGTACCATTTACGTTCAATAGAAGGACCGAAATCCAGTTATTTAGCGGATATCCTTAAGTTTGAGCCTATTTGCATGGGCATAAGCAAGCTGTTACAGTGCTACTAGTGGGAAGGCATTAGTGCTAGATCCTTGGCATCTGTGCACCCAGGTTTTTAAATTTCTGGCTCTGAAGAAATGGAGAGACTTTTATTAAACTACGGTAAATAATCGGTACCACATCAAGGTAATTTAAAAGAAGTGGTTGAGCAGTTGTGTGGGAACCAAACAAGTTAATCTAAACCAGAATTTCAAGTATGGTCATGATAAACCACTTTTGGAATGAACTAGTCTGCTATGTAATGAGAAAGTTTTCCCACTGATATACTCATGTATGCACACAGACACACACACATGTGAAGTATGTAAAAATATTATTGCTAATAATGAGAATATGTCCTAAAGCTACAATAAGCAAACAATGCCTCCCCTGCCAATATTAAATATTTATTTTACTGAATCAAAAAAAGCTTTTAAAGCTTCCCATCAGCAGTAATCAAGTTCTACAATTAACACACAGTGAGTGAAGTAAAATAAAGTTATGGGGAAAATTTTGTCCAAAGGCCCTAGCTGTTGGACATTATTCATGATGACCAAGGCTTCAGGCACCAAAGTAAATGAAAGTGTTACTTACACAAAGAACTGTATAAACATCCAGTGATACTTGTTTGGCTGACACTGGTTGTTTATCCCTTTTCCATTCCATTTACTCAACTTGCTAGGAATTGTCCTAATGCAAGTCAGAGAAAGCTGCAAGTGCTTGTTACTGATGTCTGTCATTGCCTAAATTAGGAAGAGTATATGATTTTGATGTGCATTTAAAGATAAGTTTTGTAATACTGCATCCTACAAAGCATAAAATTAACTGCCCTGAGATGATTATATGGGCTGGCTAGCCCAAGTAGTTGTTTGTTTTGTTTTGTTTGGTTGGGTTTTTTTAATGCTGGTTGAATATATACTTTGTTTTCGTGGTATCTGTAAAGTTTTGGAAGCCCAGGATACCTGTATGATCACCCATGTAAATCATGTCTCGGGTGATAGCTCTCCTTGTGCTAGCACTGTTGTCTTGAGCTGTGGCATTTGTGCAGGGCATATTCTGAACACAGGGCTCCTCTGTGCTGCTGGAGTAATATAAAATGTTTCTAAATAAAAGGGATCAACTCTGTCATGTCTATGCATCGCTATTTTTCATTCCAACAGCTAGAGAAAGATGGTCTAACTGGCAAGTAGTATTTTGGTGAAATAAAAAAGTCAAGCTATTAATTACGCCTCTTTCTCTACCATTCACCCAAAGTTTGCACAAGGTCTGTCCTTAAATGCATACTCCAACTAAAAAAGTGAGAGCTTTCTTGAATCTGAATTCTTTTTCCACCATTGCTACTATAAATGACACTTAAAGTTGTACCTGCAGTTTGTGTTATTCCGGTCTCTCTTGCTGGTTTGATAGTGCTTAGTTCTACAGTGTCATTGTACATTGTATTTGTAATCCTTCTCACCACAAAAGCTTCCACATGAGATTCAGAACTTACTCTACATCGGGGAGTAGCTTCTTCACCAGAGTAATGCTATCAACAGCTTTGCTGGGTAGGTGACGGCCGCGTTCTTTGTACTGAAGCCTAACCATTCACCTGGACTTTGGCATGTATTGCCTTTTGATCTTTAAAATGCACAACAACTTTGATTCTCAGTCTTTGAATATGTTTGGATTCTAGAAGCTGCTTAAAATGATCAGATGCTGATCTGTTGCTTCTTGTATGTTTTCTGAGACTTCTCTATGAAGAACAGGTACAAAGTATACCCCACTCTTCACATGGGATCCTTCAGGAGTTCCAGGGGTCTTTATTTGTTAGAGGAATGTAAATAATGGGTATTTCTGCCCAGTCTGTAAAGCATTACGTCAGCTTTTAGTCAACGTGACAGATATATCTTAATTACCAATGCTCTGGAAGAAATTCAGAGTTCTAATTCTGCAAACTCCCATGGCAATGAGGTTCCAATCATCCAAACATTTTGTAGTTTACTAACTTTGTCTTGGACATATTCAAACTTGGAGAAACTTAGACCAGAATTGTTATTTTTTTTGTATAGAGCAAGATGGCAATTCAAAAGTTAATGTTCAGCCCAGTGAAATCACTGGCTCTGGGGTTTCTTTTATTTATTGCAAGAGCAGCAACAATCAGCAGCAGAGATGGGCATTTGTACACAAAGGTTCAAAAAGCAAGATAAAAAAAATTGAAGTAATCCTATATTTTTATCCCAAACTTCATTCAGCCAATGTTATTCAGTTGTCTAACAAAAAAAGAGTGCTACTTTAAAGCTGATTATTCCACATTTATCTGGTTTTCATGAAACATTTTGCATTCATCTTTAACAAGGACTGCTACAAAGCAAATTTGAAGCCTGGTGCTAGGTATCATGACAGAAAAAGAATGCTGTGCTGAGATTTGGGAGTAAAACACTACCCTGCTCTGTGAATTCTGTATGATATTCTTAGGAACTGATAAAGCATATGCTTGCGAAACATGTCATCTGCTATGATCCATATAAATGTATGTGTACACTGCTTTGTCATAAAGAATAACAAGCACATGTTCAGAACACTGGGGGCCAAAGTAGAGCAGAAAAGTTAACATTAATGTCTTGTTTTGATAAATGCCCCTTTTAAAATCTGGCAATTTTTAAATTCCTTTTTCTCATTTAAAATACATACTTGAAGTTGGGGGCAAAACTTCTTTATTTTTGTTTCAAAACCAAAACCAGTGTTAAAAAGTAACCTGTGGCTATTCTTACAGTTGTTATGTATGATTTACCTTTAGTAGTATATTAGATGCCTATATATTTGAACACAAGTTAGCATGCTTAGTTATTGCACAGATGCAATACTAACTTCTGGGTGTTTTGTTTTTTTTTTTTAAGATTCGCATTTAATTTTAATCCAAACTTTTAAACTCAATTTTCTGCCATTCCCGTAGTTACATTAGTGTATACATTGATGTATTTTCAAGTTTGGTTTTAGTCTTGTGCTGACCAATCTCTTATAAGAAGCTGCTGATTTCCCTAGTAGGAGTTATGACCAGCTTTAAAAACAAAAATGTATGAAACTAAAACCTACTTTGTAAGACAGAAATGTTGAAGGCAACCTTAACTTGAGCACAACAATCTAGCAGCTTCTACTTCTCAGCTGCATAATATACCTCCTCTCAGCATCTGTTACATATTGACAAGTGTGAGTAGGTGGTAATCTTACTTTTTTTTTTTCCTCCTCTCCAACCAAATGTCATGGGAAATAATGTTGAGTGGGTAATGCCCTTCTGTTTTGCTGGGAACAAGCTTGCAGGATATTCTTTTGAGACCCTCTCGTCATTGATCGTAATTGACTTGTATAATTGAAAGGGGAGTATTTGTTCTCTCCCGTAGGCAGAAATGGCTGTCTATTAAAGTTGTCCAACAGGGATGTTACCTGTGGTCCAGTGAAAATCTCTAGGCACTGTTTCTCTGCTTCTGCCCCCCTCAAAACAAAACCGAGGGAGGTTATGTTTCAAATGGTGAGATTACAAGTATGTAGCAGTTGCATGTTGTTTCTTTAAAAAGGAAAAGGGGAGTTTTAAAAACAAGGATAAAAAACATTAAATTCTTTTTTGAAAATCCACATGTAGTCTTTAAAACTTGTAAGTGATCTTTTTCTAAAGGTGAAGAATGTCTCATACAGTTTCTATACTATGTGCTCTATTCATTAGCTTAACATAATTGAGACCTTATAAAGATCTTAAGTTCAGTAAGATTTAGCTGAAATTCCTATCAAGAAATGCCTGAGGCTGGGTCTGATAACCCCCAACCTGAACGTTTGAAATCTAATTTTAGATCATTTTGTTCAAGAGCCATTTTAAGGAAACAATATGCTTTTCTTGACAATTCAAACAAAAGTTTCTAAAGCAGGCAGATGAGTGAGAGCTTTTCTGAGGCATTTAGGATCTAATTAACTGAAATGGCCCATTGCAGCTTAGTAGGTATCACCTATGTCTACTTTTCCGCACCTAGTATCAGGTGGAACCTTCGTGAGCTTATATAATATTTTTCAACAAACTTCTAAAGCTTCCGGGGGGGGGGGGGGGGGAATCTTATTCTTTCCTGCTGCAAGATGACTCCAGCTAGAGCACCTTAGACACAAGAAAAGTGGTGGGGTTTTGCCCTGTGCTCTTTGTTTCTTCAGGTGATTTTTTTACATGCTTGACTAGAAATTAATTGTTTTTGAGTAACAGCTGTGATTTCGAGGAGTCAGCATCTTAGTATTTCAGTTTCAGAAATTAAATACTTCCTAGTAAGTTAAAGATGCTAGGAAACCTGGCAAAACTTAATTCTGTCATAGCAATTTCTGTTGTAGGAGATTGGAAGACATCTTAAGGTGTACTTTACAAAATAATTAGCTGGTGCCGTGAAATAGTTTGTGTGTGCATCTCTGTCTACGAAGCAAAACCAATTGCATCTATCCTGCCCAAGGAGAATAAGCCGTACAGTCTCGGAAATTAAAGAAAAAGTGTATCACTCCTAGTTCACCTCTGAGGGATGGAACGAGTATGCTTCAAAGCTGAGAACTGTGCCAAGAAATTTTTGGTTATTTAATGCTCTGGTTAGTCTAAGAAAGCTGAATTGGCCTAATCTCAGCACTCAAATCATAAAAATGAACTGCTGTGCTCCTGAGACCTGCAATGACAGTTTATAATGCCTAAAAGATGGGTATGCGTTCATTTTGCCCCTTGGGAACTTAGAGGATTGCCATGTCTCTGAAGAAGCTGGAGGAAGACACAGCACTTATCTTCCTACTTCAGATAAGGACATGTTTCATTTTCTCACTGGTGAAAACTTGAACGGAAAGTCCATGTTTGTGTTGAACGGACAGGATGCAGAGAGCAGGCTGGAGGTTAATGGGTCTTAACAAACCTCCTCCTCTCTACTCTCAGAAGGTGACTGGGATAGAATTAAAAAGTAGCATTTGCTGACATTTCTCCTCTCTGTTCATTTAGGAAAGTAACGCACTATTGAGTACTCTGCCTAAGCAGAAACTAGTGCTTCTGTGGTAAAGAGCTGGCCGTTTCTTCAGCTACAAATGTTGCACGGTGGCACTCTAAGTGAAATTAAAATGTTCATTTTCATTAAACGTCTTGGCAACTTGCTTGTCTTAGGATCTAATCTTTATACCAGATAGTGCAACGCAAATCTCTGTAAAGGGAGATAGGGCTATACCCTGAAAAAGGGTTTGGCTAACAGCTGATACTGCTTAAAGCTTCACCTCTACAGGAGCTAACTGCATTTAGTCACCTTTTGATTATCTTTAATATTTTTCTAGGAATTCTCTTCTTGTTTCCTTGTTTTTTTTTCTTCAGTGCGCAACTTTTTCAGGGTTCTGTATTGCCTATGTGAATTTGCAGTATGTTTATAAGTTTGCATTACAGAGAGTTACTGGAGACACAGTCCAAGACAAACCACTGTTCCCTTGGAGGATTTTTGACTTCTGAGTCTGTGTTTGCATTCCTCCAGGTGATGATAATGGGAAGAAGGCCAACAACCCCAACCACTGTAACTGCATCATAGACCAAATCTTCACAGGCGGACTGCAGTCTGATGTTACCTGTCAAGTCTGCCAGTAAGTAATTTTTTTCTGATTCTGCACTCTGATTTGAATCTGTACACCATCTAGTGCAACAGTGTACTGAATCTTCTCCTTCTTGAATACCAGTAAAATTCCAGCAAGACAAGAACTGTAATACAGCATGAGCTAAATGCAATCAATTACCAGTTAACTGTCATATATTAAGATATACCGAAAAAGCTACCTGGAAAGTACCACAGGCTTATGGACGTAAACTTTTTACTAGTGTATAAAAGGTTGTTCTTTTCCAAGTTCATGAGGAAAAGACTTCCAGGATCTCTTTGGTTTTGAAAGTATGTAATTGCCACTACATTTGAAGAAAATCCTGATATGTGACCATATTTTCCTGCAGCTAGGAGCATTGTGTATTATCAGGAGATGTTTCAAAGAGGCTGATACCTAATGTAATCTCAGGTCTCAGCAAGTGAATGTTTTACAAGAGTAAGGAAAAATGCTTTTGTTTTTCTGCTCTGTGTACTGGAGCAAGTTGACTTCTCTTTCAAGATGTTTGGTGTTGCCATAGTGCAGAAGTCAGAGTTCTTGTTTTTTGTTCTGTCTTGCATTCTTTATAATTACGCACGCTGTCCTGCAGATGGACTGTTGTGCTGTGCTTGTTTGAATCTGCTTTTATTCTCAGTTTCCTGGAGAGATTTGCAGATTTACTGTAAGGAAAACATAGGAAATTTTGTTCTTTGCCTGGTAGAGCCACAGAATCCTTATATGATAATGAAAAGCTTGATGTGTTATGACACAATATTAGCATTGATGAAACTTTAACAAAAGAAGTTTCCTTTTGAAAACTGACAACTTTTGCACAAATGAAGCTGGAAAAAAGGCAGAATATTGTAGGCTTAATGAGATTGCAGAGTGAAAGACACTAGTTTTAGAGGAAGAGAGTACTCAGAAAATAAGCGCAGCGTGTACAAACAGAAAAAGCTTCCAAACTAGGAGCTTAGACCGCTGAAGTTGTGGAGTTCTCTTAAAAATGTAAATGCTGGAAGAAAAGATTTGAGTCAATACAACTTAAAATGTTGAGAAGCTTTTTCTGTAGTCTAGCTGTTGGCTTGTCTTCAGCTTTCTTGTAGAGAGATCTGATCGAGAACATACACTACTTCTTGATGCAGTTATTCTTTGGCCTCTCCAAATGCTGTAGGAGATGCTAATATGAACTGCAAAGCTTAATTCAATGCACTACTGTATAGCAAAAGTATTTGGCACTCTCTCTATCAAAGTAGCCTTAAGCACCATCTTTCATGTCTTGACCAGAGAACCGTGCTTCTAAATTACTTGGATTACATGTAGCTATCATCGTAGATGTTAGCTGGTTTATACTGGTCGGTAGTATGACCAGTACCTCTATCTCTGAGTAACCCTGCTTGTTCACTTTGAGTCACAGGGCTCCAGTGAGTGGGAGAATGTATTAAATGTGTATATTTTGCATTTAGTACATCACATATATTTCTTAAAACGTATGGCTTTTAAATAATCAGAAATACAATCGGTTGTGGGAAAACACTCCGGAGCAAATGTATTTTCTGTCATCTTTGAGTGCCCTCTAGGGGTGATGTAGATCCCATAGTTCTTAAAAGTAAGTATCTGGTGTGCACCCTAAAGTGAGAGAGACTGTTAATTTTACTTCCTTTAAACATGTATTAAACTCCTTTCTTTTTTCATAGTGGCGTTTCCACAACGATAGACCCATTTTGGGACATCAGTTTGGATTTGCCAGGGTCCTCCACCCCGTTCTGGCCACTGAGTCCGGGGAGTGATGGCAGTGTCGTAAATGGGGAAAGCCATGTATCAGGCACCACCACTCTCACAGACTGCTTGCGAAGGTATGAAATGAGACAAATACAATTTTGGTGGGATAAAAAGAATTTGGCTTCATTCTGCTCTCCAGGTGGCACTGAACAATGGGAGTAAGTGATGCTTTGTCATGGCATTATCCCCAAACAGCATTTTTAAACGTATTTTAGGTTTTTGCATAAGAGAAAGTGAGAAGGCAAAGAAGGCTCAGAGCAACAGTAGGCCTAACAATAAGCAATCAAAACCAGTTGCTATGCGATGCAAAAAGAAAACAAATTTTACATTGGCTGCTGCCAGTGGTTTTAAATGCTCAAAACCACTAGTGTCTGTCTCCATGTTCTTGGCTGTGTCAGCTAAATAAGCACATAAAAAGAGTTCACAATGCATTTAATATTTGTCTAAATTATAACACCAAATATGAATCTGATCTTGCTCTAAGCAGAGCTGAGGGTCAGCTAATGGTGGCTTAGTTGCTGGAATGGCATTAAGAATGAAAGGAATTGGGCTTTCAAAAAGAAAAGATAATTCTGAGCAGGAAACTTATGCATCTTGGAAACAGGTAACTGGAGAGAATGTTATGGCTTCATACACAGTTAACTTGGATCTTTTAGCAGATCTGAAAGTCATTCTCTTGTGGCAAATACAGATATTTGTCGAAGATACTGTCTGAGGAAGGGGTCACCTGTAGCCTGGGCAAAACTAATTCTCCTGAAATAAAAATTCATAGCCTCTGATGTCTGATTTCTAACCTTCTTGATACTTTTAAGATCAGTAATTTAAAGAATACAAGGGAATTAGTACAAATGAGAAATAGCTGATGCAGGATTGCATCAGGAGGCAAAACCAGTTGAATTTTGGTGATTTTCTTCAACATGGGATTAGTAGAATCAGAGAGAGATGATAAGGAAGGAAAAACATCCAGGCTCAAAGATACTCTCGAAGAGTATGGATTTTGGAAAGAAGTTAAACTCTAATGGATAAAGAGGATAGATCTAGGTTTTTACCCAAAAGTTAGCAAGCAGGTTGTGTAGTAGATTCAAACAAGGAAGGTGTGTAACTTCACGTCAACCAGTGTGGCCATGCAACTTGAAGTTGGCATAAAGAAGGAAGGATTGAGAAGGAATATGACAAAACCCAGAAAGATGTAGGCACTCCTAACAAAAATAACAACAAATTCATAAGCCTTTTTACAAACTTGAGAGAAAAAAAAATAATGAAAAACCAAAACCAGAGGATGGTGGTACATAGGCTAGGTAAAGGAAATCTTGTTAATCAAATAAGAGGGGAGACCAAGAGGCTGCGATGATCATTTAATGCTGGAGGCTGCATTGGCCATAAACAGAATGAGGCAAGGTAGGGTTAGTGACAAGCTGATAATGTGTTGCCCTCACATACTTAGTGTGTGCATTAATGTAAAATGTTCAATTATATTTCAAAATATTTCATCTCAAAAATCCTAGTTGTAAAGCAGCCTCTGGGGAGATGATTTATTTGCCCCATGGAAGTCTAAACTTGGAGGAAGAGACCTAGCAGTCCATCCTCCTAGCCTTTTCTGTGCTGACAGTTTCTGAAAAAGTGAGAGATATTTTGCTTTAGTGTGTTGTGAGAACATAGAGGTAGTATATTTTCTCTAAGCAGTTCCCTTTTCTGTAATGGTCTCTTCCTATAGCTCCCTTGAGCAGTTCTGTCTGAAAATTTTGAAAGATATTTTTCTAGTTGTCAACACTTGGGTTTTCTTGGAAGATATCTGTATTTTGAAAAGAACTTTGTGTTTACAGCCCTTTCCATCTCAGAGCTTTGATCCTAGCCCTGGAGGGCTATAAGCTAGCAGAGTGTCCTGCAGATAGCATGCAGCTGATCACAGAAGTCATGTCATCTTGCTTTGGAACTTCCATATCAATGTTTTTGGTTTTGAAAGCAAAAGATCTTTGCTTTCTGTATGAAAATTAGCTGTCCTGTTGTAGGACATGAACTAACATTCAGCTCCTTTCTCAGACACTGATGCATTTCAGTGCAATGTTACCAAGTAGGGCAATGATAAATGTCAGATTTGGATATCTGAACCACAGCACCTTACATTATTATGGGTGTTGGGTTTTTTCAAAATGACACTTAAAAGCCATGAACTCTGTCTCTTGTGGTGCCAGTGACCCACAAGTAAATGTAAAAGAAGTGTTTTCAGCATGTGTGGAAAATCATCTGATGGGTTTGTGCATCTCTTTGCTTTTTAATATTTTTTCAGGTTTACACGGCCAGAACATCTAGGAAGCAGTGCCAAAATCAAATGTAGTGGTTGCCATAGCTACCAGGAATCTACCAAACAACTCACTATGAAGAAGTTACCCATTGTGGCCTGTTTTCATCTCAAAGTAAGTTCACAGGGGGCAGACAGAGCAGAGGACATATATTCCGCTCGGAGAGGATGAGCTAAATTCCTGGACATATCTTCTGGCTTTCACTGACTAATCTTTTATGATACAAATTAATATAAAGAATAGCTTGCATGCCCAGCTAGATTTTCTATTATGATAGTATTACATTATCTATAATGTAGCTTTGCAGTATGTCTGTGGGAACCTAACTAATCAGAATCTAGAAACAAAATGGAAGGCTAGTACAATACCTGAACCAGTGTAGAAACCAATCTCCAATAACACTTACTCATTCTACATGGTAAAATTTTTACCCTACACATCTACTGGAAGAATGCCACAGAGGAACTCTGTGTTGAAGGACAAGCATGAAAAAGTTATCAGTTGCAATGGAGAAGGCTTCTTGTATCTTCCGAACTGTGATGTAGTTTTCAACATTTCCAATCCCCATTGTCAGATGCAATGATAGGAAATAATGTCATAGTTGGTGCCCTCAGATAGTTTAGTCCTATAGAATGTATGTCTTAAATACAAAGAGTATGACTGTGGTGCAAAGTAGGCAGGTATTGCAGAAGATGAAGGTCATTCTGTGTCAAGCGGCAAAGGGTCCTTGAAAAGTGATGCCACAGGCCTTTGTAGAAGCATCCACCATAGTAATTTAACTGCATCTCTGATCTGCTTGAGCTTTTCAGATGCAGACCTCTAAGGTCTTGAGTGTCTCCTGGGACAGAATGACAAGTCCTCTGCCTGCTAGGCAGCAACTCATGATCACTGGCCTCAGCTCTTACTGTGACCAGTGTTTCAAGAAACTGCTTATCTGATGATGATACTAATGTCATATAAGCTACATGAAGAAAAACAGCATTTTACCTACAACCATGGTGACTGGAAACATTTTAAAATGGCAGCCTATATGCTGTGTGCAACTGAAGGCTTGTATTGCTTTTCTTTCCAGTTGGTGAATTGAAAGAACAGCCATTCCAGCCTTTTGCTCCAGAGACCTTGTTCAGTTGTTCAATTCTTACACGGTTTCTAGGCTTTGAACTTTGGTAAAACACCTGAGTAACTTTAATAGTGTTGGAGTTACACCTTTATCTTGTAGCTGTCATGGCAGGTGCGTGCTGAACTTCGCTGTAGCATACAGGCAGTTTTTCTGGTTTATTTTCCAGTAGCCCTATAAGCTATGTCAGTATGTTCATACTAGAAAACCTAATAATCTGTGTAACTATAGTGTCATGGTCTCACTGAGCAAGTCACGGACTGTATTCAAGAAGTGATTGTAGTTTGGAACTGTTAAATTATATAGCAACTCCGTATCTGGCATAGCAGTGATTTAGAATTTATTTTCAAAATCTGGCTTGTACAGAAGCTTGCTAATGAAATGCAGAGGTCTTGACATGAAAACAGAATGCCACAGGAAGGGCTGTATTTGTGAGAAAAGATTGATTCTACTAAAAAAGGTGTTAGAGGTGAAAAGCATTCCCTTTTCTGTAATTTACAGGCCTTTTCAGACTGTTTGGGACAATCATGCCTTCAGATGTTCACCCCCATATACCAGCAGTTCTTCAGTTGCATCTTGAATATTAACCAAGATGATATGCAATGTTATATGCCAAAGAAGTCATTAGCCTGACTGGACTAGATAGCAGTACAGTTCTTTTGTTGTTCTTTGGCTGTGATCTTCCTGAAGAGCATTCTTGCATGACTGACTTGAGGTTTCAGGAGTGCTTGGCTGGCTGCTTGGCTTTCGGGGGGAGTTTCTGGGGTGTTGGGCTCTTGTTTTTATTTTATTTTTATTTTATTCTTGCAGAGTAGTTGGCAAGATACACCTAGGTGATTCTGCTCTTTGGGCAAGGCAGTGTGAATGTGCTCAACCCCTTTCCTACACTCAGTTCGGTATTTATGTTATCCAGAATGATTGAAGATTTTTTTTTTTAAATAAATTACTCTTCCTAAGCAATTGTGTTGTCCTGTCCATGCAAAATGCAAATTTCATTTCATGTGTTAAAGCAAAAAAGAAACACAAAAGATAAGAATTACAGAAGTCTTGGCTTTTCTTGTCTGGATCTGTTGCTAGGGAATTGTTATGGCACCACAATTGGAAAATAATTAACTTGAAGTGTAAATAGAGCAGAATTTCTGAGAAATGGGGAGAGAAGCTGCCTTTAAATAGAAACTCATTCATCTCTTTCTGGTATTTGTTCCTGTTTCCACTTAATGTTCAATCGAGAAGATGAGGAGAGGATGGTGGGTATTGCAGGCTCCTTTTGGTGGAGGGACAAGGCTTTTTTATTATCGTATTTCATTTTTGCTTTAATTTGAATTGGTATTCCGGTGTAGGCTTGAGTCCTGTCACTTGAGATGATTGGATGGGTGGATTAAGTGTGTGAATCTGATGGCAAGCTCTCATTGTCACCAGTTTTGGGTGCTAGTGTAGGCAGCAGCCATATATTTGAATAGTTTGGAGTACAAATGAACACTGGTTTGGGTAAAGGCTCTGTGTGCTCTCTGTTTAATACATTTTTTGTGACTGTCACTTGGGAATAAGTTTGTGTGTATAGATATTAAGGTAAACAATCTAATTAATACCATATTTTTCCCCCACAAGTTGTGGTTTATTTCCCTGGTAGAACTGTGTTAGCATTTACATGGGTGTTCCCAGCCCAGATAGCTGGTAGAAGAAAATCAGGGGATGACCCTGGATGCTGACTGCTAATATGCTTGCATGTTATTGTTCCTAAGCTTAGGACATTTATAAAAGACAAAAAACTTAGCATTTCTCTAAAGAAAAAAAAATTATTCCACTTTGTCTCCAGCGGTTTGAACACTCAGCCAAACTGAGGCGAAAGATCACTACGTATGTCTCATTTCCGCTGGAGCTGGACATGACACCATTCATGGCTTCCAGGTGTGTACCAAGTTCAAAACCCCCCAAAGACCTGGACAGAACTGTTTTACCAGTTCATACATGTGCATCATGAAACATGGAACATCCTTGAATCAAAGTTATAGAACAGTATGTATAATGATACTTCTGCTGTAAGCTTCTCCTTGAAATGTGCATAATTTCTAAACTAATTTTTAGATAAACTATTGAGTTTTGTGTGCCAGAAAAGGCTTTATATTTAAACTTTTGGTTTTTATTAATGTGTGTTATGTTTCTGGTTGCATGTTAAATTTATAGACTCAGATCCATCTTGCCTTCGGATCTCTGCTTTGGTCCCATCACCTGAGTGCCCACCCACAGTCATCTTGTGTAATTAGGCAGACTAGACATAACCTAATGCCTAACCTAGTATTTCTGAAGTTATAAAAATCTTTCCTCTTTATTCCTACACCTATGCAAATCTGGTTTTTTTTGTTTTGTACTTTCAACTTTTGTTAGAGAATGCTGCAAGAAGAAACGTAGTCCAAATTAAAATAGATATTTCTAATTGGTATTTAAACAGAACCAGTAAGACTTCTCCCACCACCCAGGTTTGTGAATGACATGACATTTATATAAATAAACCTTTATGAAAGGTATATTCATAAAGAGGCCCTCCCCTGGAGAAAAGTAGATGCTTCTGCCAGGAGAGAAAGGAGAGCCCTGAAGCTCTGTTAAATGGTGTTATATTAAGAATATATGGTTTATTCCAGTATATTTTGGAGATTTTGAGGCTTCCCTGTTCCTCTGTGGTGAATTCTCCCTGGATAGAACAGGCTCTGCTGATGAAAGGTATCAAGCATAATGGAATATAGATGGGATAATCAGCAGGCATAACTCAGTAATCTGAATTTCATCGCCTATGAAATCAACAGCATAATCCTATTGCTGCTGTCAATACACAAAATGAATTTACAAGTCGGAGCCAGGATGATTGACCCATCAGAGGATAAAGGATTGATGTAATTAGATATTTTTCCAGGTTTAAATTACAAATCTTTTCTTAACCTGTTTTTAAGCTTTTTGGATAGGACATTTGACGTAAACAGATCTGTATTTGCAGCACTGAAGCCTTGACCAGGAGGAGAAATGGTGTTTCTTATGTAGCATTGCTGTGAGAACAAATAAAGCATCTTCAGCATCCTAATCAGCAGCCCTTCTCTGCTGCTAAGCAGCATTGTGCTTTTGAAAAAGGACCTGGATTCGGCAAACAGGCTGTGTCATGTAAAACCTATTTCCTCAGTTTGGGAAGCCACTGCTTTAAGTGACTGGATTTTTGTGTGTGTGTGTGTTGCAGTAAAGAGAGCAGAATGAACGGGCAATACCAGCAGCCGACGGATAGTCTAAACAATGATAATAAGTAAGTGGTACATTCCATGACTCCTATTGTGAAAGGTAGTTGGCTCCTAGAAGGAGATATACAGTCTGCTGTATATCCTGCAGTGTGAAGTGCATTACCATATTTGACAGCACAGTAAGTCTGAACTGTTGCAAAATAAAGCTTCATTCACCACAATTGCCTACCCTTTCGTGGTTTTGTGGCAGCTGACTTTCAGATCTGAAGGTGATAACCCCAGCAATCGGTCTGTGAGCAAAATTAAAAGCTATGGTTACAGTATTAAAAGGGATGAGTGTTTCCTTTAAATAATCCTATTTCTATTGCAATAGCAATGGGAGTTCCAGAAGACTGAAAGAAAGTTTATAGAAAACTGACACTCAAAGTCCCAAGCAGATGACCCCAGTAATTCTGAGGTCTCTTGGTCAGGTATTGATTCCAGTCAGAATAAATGATGGGCTGATATGGGACTTGCTCAACAATGTAAAGGGAGTGTAATTGAAACCAATATCCATAGCTTTATGGGAATATAGATGGTCACACAAACCTTATCTTTTTCTTTAATGAGGTTACAAGTTTGGTTGCTACAGTCATGTGCTGATGTTGTGTATTTAAATTCTTCAAGGCACTTCATTTGGCACCAAAAGTTTAGTTAAGAAACTGGAAGCACACAATAGATAGATTTAAAAACCAGCTAACCAGGTCTTAGTGCAGTTGTCAAATAAGCAGATACCAGGCAGGTGTTAACGTGTGGTCCTATAGCAATTGATTCATTAGATGTATGGTGTTTAATAGTATTAGCAAAGATCTGAAAGAAGACACAACTGATCACTGTTGAGGTTTGCACATGTCTTAAGTTGCAGAAGTTGTTAACAATGAAGAGGATGAGGTAATGAGAGCAGAGGCATCTGGGCTGCTTGGTAAGCTGGATGCCAGTAAACGGCTGGGGCAATCTTAGTATCCTCCATGTAGGACTAAAGAGTGGTGTCCATCCTAGTTGGATTAAAGGACTCCACTAGGAAGAGAGTGACTATAATCAGTGGCTCTGTGGACATTCAACTGAATAGGTGTCTTGTTGCGGCACCACTGTGTCAGAAGAGCTCTGTGAATTTTGAACACAAGTAGGACAATATCAAGTGAGATTAGAGAGATTATTTTACCATTGTGCAGCTGTGTTTGTATCCCAGTTTGAGGATAGTATTTCAAGAAAGAGTTAAAGAAAGTGGAGAACATTTGAAAAAGAGCTGCAAGTATATTTAAGACTGGAAACAAAATCTTACCTTAGAACAAAAGAGCCAAGGACTTCAGTTTTCTCCTTTTTAAGAAAAGGGTAAAAAAAGGTTAAGATCAACTTGATTAGTTCATCAGTATCTTTCTTTGGAACAGAGATGTGTCTGCTAGTTTTCAAGCTAGCAGGCAAATGCACAGCAGCATCTGAAAGCTGGAAGTTGAGGCTGAATGTATTCAGTATGTCAGTATTTCAAAATAGGTACAGACTTTACAGATTAAGGACAATTAATCAGTACAGCAATTTATCACTAGAAATATTTAAGATGAGCTATAATTAAGATTAGTGCCTTCCCAAGCCCCATACCTCAAATGCATTTTTCTGATTCACTAGAGTAACTAATTCAGGGAAATAGAAGGTCAGACTAGATAATCAGTTGTCCTCTTCAGGAATGCATCAATATTGTATCTATTTTATGAAAAATCTTGGTAGCCAGTATTGGTAAAGCTGACGGCTGTCATCAGACTGGAGTGTTGCAGTAATAGCAAGACAGAAAAAGAAAAATGTGGTTCTTTTCCCTAGGCAAGGATGCCCTCTTCCCGGTTAATGTTAAGAACTGGTGTTTTATTGATGGATCAGATCCTTTACTATTGCTATACATGTTTATGTATAGCCTGTCTAAAATGTCAGTTGGTTTTCCCCTTTTGATCCACATATTCATTAACTCTGTTCTGTACCAGGTATTCCTTGTTTGCAGTAGTTAATCACCAGGGAACCTTGGAGAGTGGGCACTATACCAGCTTCATCCGGCAGCACAAGGACCAGTGGTTCAAGTGTGATGATGCCATTATCACCAAGGCTAGCATTAAGGATGTGCTAGACAGTGAAGGGTAAGTTATGAAACGGAGAGGGGAAAGGAAGGGAAACTTCAACCGTTGTTGGGTTTTCCTTACTTTCAGTTAAAAGACCTTTTCATCACAGAGAAGACTTAATTTCTCTCTTTGAATATCTAATGTCTCTGTGTATTTACCAGTGCTTCAAAATGTTGCTTTATAATCCTGGGTTTGTTGAAGGAAGAAGAGGGGAAGGGTGAGGGACATCAGCTGACTCTGCAGTGTCTGTAACTGGTGCTCATGTCCAAACTCTTGCTTGCTAATGGAAGGGACTCTGAAAACCGAAGTGGTATGATTGTCCAGCGTAGGAGCAGTATTTATCTCCATGGCACAATCCGATCTTTGTCTGCAGAACCTTTGGATTACTATGAGTGTAAAAGATTTGAAGAAAAGCCATTAAGAAAATACTGTGAACCAGAGCGGCAAGGCTATATGGGAGGCAGGTATTGAACATGAGCTGTTTCTTAGCTCGTGGCTTTAAATTGATTTCAGATTGACATTATGATTTCAGATATTTGCATTAGACAACTATTGAGAGTGCAGAGCAGTAGATTGCAAGGGAGGCATCTTGGTGTTCCCCATTTGAGGGGAGCATTGGGGACTGGTATATGTTTCAACAATAAAATCTGAAGTCCTCATTTTGTGTTTTCAACTATAGACTTGGTACTGGAAAGATAAGCCTTTATTGTTCTTGTTTTAATTATTCCTGACATTTCCATGGATTGCTGCAGGCACAGATGTTCGGTTTGTAATTTTTTTAACAGATTTTACCATTTTTTCATTTTTTCAACTTCAACCAGGAAGTAAAAAAAAAAAAAAATCTATAATGTCTGAATTTTAGCATTAAATGACTTGACAAGGTAACTTCTGCTTTGAGGTCTGCAGAAAAACGAGTTTGTTTTTCTTCAATAACAAGTGGCTAGCTCTGGCCCTCAGATGGGGTATGTCTGTGGAAGAAACTGCCATAGGCAAGGAAGAGAGGATGTGCGACGCAACTGCTGCCCATCCATCTCATTAAAGGCTGGTTTGAGCTCTGATCCATTTTCCTTGGTTCAGATAAAGGCTGACACTAAGTAGATCTGCATTGTATAAGGGAAGCTCCATAGGGCGTGAGATGGAACGATAATAATTGGAAAGTCTCAAAAGTGCTTTGAAGCATTTTGAGAGAGTCATGCAGTGACCCTGTCAGTGTGTATCATGTAAAGAGTATGTAGAGATAAGTCCACTTCCCGCCGACATGTAACTGCTTGAGGGCTGGGCTCCGTTAAGTAGCAGTACACATAAAGTAATTAAGGACAGGAAGAATTTCATCGTATTAGAACACCAGATTTGAGTACAGATTGAGACATTAGATATTTCAGTTGGATTTGATTGGGACACATGAGTTTTCACCCACATGCCTGGTTCTTCATTTTGCTTCTATAACAGTAAATGGCAGACAGTTTGTAATAATCCTAAGTGTCTGATGCTTTGGTAATGTGACTCTAAAGCAACAGTTGCATCTTAAAGCACTTCTGTTGTATTTTGTGTCATGGTAGTGTTAAATGGATGCTGCTGGTCTGGGTACCAACACAGTCCAACCTTCCAGAGCTTTCAGGTTTGAAGTAGCTTGTACAACAAGAAGGTTTGACTGTTTGTTGTACAACTGTGCAGTTCCTTGAGTTGCTGGTAAAATCATGTCAGCTGGCTTCCCTCCTTCTCACCCATGGTTACTGTACGGAACTGGCACATCCCTGGAATCGCTTCAAATTGAAAAGAAAAACAAAATTAATAGTCCTCACTTTTTGTGATCGCATCAATGGAAATACTCATCTGCTCCGAGGTATAGCAGAAAGCTGAAACTGTACCTCTGCTTTCTTGCAGATATTTGCTGTTCTATCACAAACAGTTCCTGGAGTATGAATAGCCTTATCCAGCAGCTTGTCAGATATAAACAAGGAAGAAAATAAGCAAGCCTTCTGAATCGACACACAAACCTACCTGAAATGAAAAGACCCATTAAAAAACAACTAGCACTGAGCTGTAACAGGACCTACTTGACACTGACTCAAAGCCTGGCGGAGTAAGAAATGAACAATGTCCAACGTGTACGCAGTCCCGCAAGGACAGAAAGGGGGAAAAAAGAGGCTACAGTCAGTCACTTAACAGAGGAAATATAAAATGAAAGGAATGCTCTGGGTGGGGGAAACGGGAGCAGAGGAGTCCGGGCACTGGTACATCTCCTATGTTCCTCCAAAATGTGTGTGGGAAGGCAAGGGGTTATACCCTCATCTCCATAAAGCATCTTCTCCATTTGGTGCTTCAGCTCCAACGACCAATCATATAACAGTTAAAATTAAAAATCCAAGCCCATTTTTTATGCATATGGGTCTGAAAGCAGTAGAGTGGAGGAGGAGGGGATGACACAACTAAAGGACTTTGCAAGTATCTTTTTATTTGTGAATTTTAGTTATTAAATAAATACAGTATGAAACTATTAGGCTCTTTTTTTTCAACAACCATAAAAGAAATCCTGGATTGTGGAACTGAAGCTACAGTACTAAGACAGGTTTTCAAGCATGCCTGCTTGCACAGGTAATGTTTAATGCCATCGGACTGCTCATCAAAAGCATCAGCACAGATTCTTTTCTGTTTGAGCCCTTTTTTTTGTTTTGTTTTCTATAAATAGCTATTTTCTTAATTTTTTTCCTTTTATTCCCTTTTTTCACGAGAATGAAATTCATAAATGCAACCATCAGTAAAAATGAATGAATTGGCGTGTTTATACTGTAAGAGTGGTCTTGGTTCTTTTTTTAAAATATTGTGAATAAGTTTGAATTTCTCAAAATTGCTTGTTTTGTTGTTGCTGTTTTTGGTTTGTTTTTTCCCCTGCTGCCTTCCGAAGGCATATATGTGACACTTGAAAGAACCTCAGTATTGAAAAATGTACCATCTGTTAGAAACGGTTGCTGCTGGGGGCAGCATTGAGCGATAGATCTGCTGCTATTGAGCACTTCTGCAGTGCACTCGGTTTTTAAGTAAACAACACATTTTCCTGGTATGTGCTAGGCTGGTATTGGTTCCTTGTATCCTCCCACATGTATTAACTCCTCACATACTCTTCTCCTTGCAGAATCACAGCCTCTGTATCGGTGTCCTTAGCTTGCAGCAGTCGGTGCACCAACTTACTCTGGCTTTGTCACAAATGCAGTTTTGCTCCTTTTCTCCCCCTCCACCGCTGTCTTTTAAAAGCAGCTCGCTGGTTTGTCGAGATACCAGCAGTAGCCGCTCGTGTGCTGTATGTTGCTCTCAGGAGGCTGGGCTGTGGATTGAATTGCAGCCCGTGAGAGAAACCATTCAGAACATGGAGCTGAAAAGAGCAAAAATAGCTTTGTTCTCCCTTCCTTGTGGAACCTGTAGAGAGCTACGCGTAAGAGTTAGGTGCTGTATAAATTGGTGTAAGAGCCACACCAAAAAGGTCATTAAGCTCTGCATATGTATCCAGACAGCCATTCTTTGACTGTACCAGTGTGGTTAAAAACATGGATGGGTCTAACCTTTTAGATTCTGTGCTCTAGAAATGAGTTACAGGTGTCTGATCTGCCTGAGACAGAGGTGGAAAGTGGTCTGATAAACAGAAGAAATAGGAGGAAAATAAGGAAGCGAGTTTGTTTGTTTTTTAAATGAGCATCTTGCAAGAGCAGCTGAACAAAAGGACAGTGGAATTGCATTTGATTTTTACACAGACTGGAAAAGTACAGGGTAGTTTTTTTGTATATCAGGAGATTTCTGTGACAGCTTGCAACAGGGAAGGAAGAAGGGACAACTAATTGAAGCACCTTGAATACCAGATCAGATGTAGAAAATGTCCCATACAGTGTGGGAGTTACCTAGGCAGCCTGATTTCCGCAGAAGTGATAGCGTACTCTGGCTTTGTAACCTGTTGTTCCCTATCATCATGGTTGAAATAATTTTCAGTTGTAATTGGGTGCTGCAAGATTTAACCTGAGCGTTCTTGTCGCAAATGAAAAATAGCTGGAGAAATGCAGATGAATGGCGCACCCGCAGGAAAGGGGGCCCCTCCCTCCCCGAATTGGGCACGGTATCGTGCAGATGCTTGACGACGCTTTCTGCTATCGTTTAATAATGCAGCAAGCTTGCAGAGGAAGACAAGAATCAGCCTTTCATTATTCCCAGGGCTGCTGCAGTCGGCGTCCCCACCTTGTCCTGTTGCTGGAGGAGGAGTGCCACCGCGCGGCAGATGGGTTTCGGGGAGCGAGGATGCCTTTGCTTTGTGATGCCGAGGTCTGAGCCTTTGGCTGCTGCTTTTTTTGACACTGGAGCCTGAACAAATGAATTCTGCTTTCCACTAGCACGCGCTTGGCCACTGGAGCTAATGCAGTCTGCTTTGTTAATCCTTTAGAAACAAATTGTTTAGGGAGGAGGCCAGCCATATAAATCAGCCTTATTTTTTTTTTTTTTTCCCCCACCCGTCTGAGGCTGGTGAAGAGGGCTGTGCTCTGTGCAACCGCACCGGCGCAGATGGTTTTCAGTGGGAGATTTCAGTGCTCTGTTTCTGGTTTCAAAAGCAGAATTCCTGGTGTATTAAAAGCTCTTATTCTTTTCTTCCCCCCACTGTGCCACCCCCTGTGTCTCTCCCTGAATCATACCAGGCATGTTTCTATTTCCAGCAGCAGTAAATCAGCACAGGTTGCTAGAGGAGGAGAGAGCGTTTTCCCTCTTCCTACAAAAATGGAAGAACAGCTGCTGTCATACAAGCAGCACTACCCCTCGTGATGCTTTTTCTCAAACACAGCCTTCTGTTACCCTTCATCTCTTCAGAAGCAGCCACGCAGCTCGTACACTGGGTTTATTACCTGCAGAGCCAGGAGGTTTCTCTGTGCGGAACTCTCTTAACATCACCTTTAAGAAAACACCGACCACAAAATGCCTTGCTGTGCAGCAAGACGCTAACGAATGGCTGATGAAGTTATGCCTCCCTAATGTGCTGGCAGACGGCAGCGGAAGGCTGCCTCCTCCATGAGTGATGACTGCGCTGCTTCAGCTGCTGACCCTCTTCATTTCGGGGAGTACTTTGGGGTTGACTTGTTTATTTTGAGGTATGGTTCTATATCGGCACAGCTTGGTCTGTTGTGAGGAAGCATCTGCAGAAATGATTGAAAACAAAGACACGTGTGGTGATGCAGGCTCACGTTGGGGTGTGTATTCTGTTGTCTACCAGCAATGAACATGGCTCTACATGGGGCACAAAAATAGCCAGAAAGTGGCTTTTAGGTACAATATTTTCTTGTCCCTTAGCCACTCAACTAGAGATTAAGCTTTACTTGATGCTGGTGCCTAATGAAAACCTGAGCAAAAGCAGAAATGTGAGAATCGATTAAAGCCCCAGGTGGATGCTCTTGCTCAAAACCGGTGCTCTTGATTCCATGTAGTTTAACTCATCTGGCTGTAACTGCTTGTGTCCCATACTTACAATGTCTCTCTGATATTCTAAGTTATGTCTCCAGGTGTGCTCCATCAGAGCTGTTGGCCAGTGGCTGCAAAGGTGATACCAACTCTCTTGATTCCTCTTGGTTCTCCAGCATCTAAGGGTTGAAGCTGCGACCCTGTATGTTGCTCTCACTGCTGATTTGTTCAAGTTGCTCCATGTTACCTTTTCTTTTATATGGTGATAACAGTAGTTACATTCCCAGAGGGAGGGGAGGGCACGCCTGTGAGGGTGAGGAATGCTCTCCTCTTTCCTATCGGGGCTGGAGGGAAGGACTTGACTTCTTATGGGCATTTTCCCCGATTTCTGGGACACAAGGCCATGTGGTGACAGGGACAGCCCCAGCCCAACATGGGATTTGTCTGGATGTGAGAAGGCAAGTGGCCGCCTGGGCCAGCTGGAGCAGGAGTGCTGGTTGCCAGCACTGCGCAGGGTGAGCTCTGGTGCTAGGTGGCATAAATGCTTTCCTAAAAGCTTTCTCGTTTGAATAATTGATGCCCCTTGATCCTCGAGAGATGCCTTAATTGCAGAACCGGTGCCACGTGTTCAGATACTTCTATCCTATTTTTAAATAAGGTTCTGAATCTCCTCGCCCATGCAGGGTGGCCGGGGGTTCCCACGGGTGACGGGTGCCTGTCCCCAGCGCTGCCCGCAGGATCTGCGTGCCGGGAAGGGGACAGCGTGACGAGGTGCCACGTCTGCTTTAGGAGGGTTTTCCTTCTGGAGCCCCCATCTTTGCTGGGAAGCGCTTGGGCAGAGTGGGGGGGAGCGTGGGGCTGGGGGCTTCCCCAGCCCTGGTGCCCTGGGG